AGAGAGAGAGAGAGAGAGAGAGAGAGAGAGAGAGAGAATGAATTCAGGCTAGATATCTGAAAGGGTGAGGCCAAACCTCAAGTACTTGGAAGCATGAAATGGGCTGGGGAGCTTAGAGATGTTTGGGTGTCAATTGTACTACATTTACCCACACTCTTTCTTCAAATATTCATAAGATACTTGAGAAATAAACAACTCCCTTTTATAAATGGGGAGTGAGTAAGGATGGAATTATTTAAAAGCTTATACACAACTAAGTAGTGGGGAAGCCCCAATTCATTACAAGACAATCATTAAGTTCATACAACAAAAATAGCTGCAAAGGAGGCTACTTACAGTATGATACAAGTTTAATGAAGTGTCACTCACATAGTGAAAGAATAAGAAATCCATTTGATTTCCATGGAATGGATGCTATTCTTGGACTAACCACTGAACCACTAAGAAAAATAAATTCTTTTGCAATACTTGTCTTAGCTCTGACTTAGTTACTTTTCTATTTGTGTGATAAGGCGCCATGACTAAGGCAATTTATAAGAAAGTATTTAATTTGGGCTTACAGTTTCAGGGGATTAGAGTCTGTGATGGTGGCAGAAACAGCTGGGCTTACATATTTTATTTTATTATTTTATGACACAGGGTTTCTCTGTGTAGCCCTGGCTATTTTAGAACTCACTCTGTAGACCAGGCTATCCTCAAACTCAGAGATCCACCTGCCTCTGCCCCTTGAGTGCTGGGATTAAAGGTGTGTATCACCACCACCTAGCTGTGAGGTTACATCTTGATCAGCAAGGAGGGAGGGAGGGAGGGAGGGGGAGGGAGATGGAGAAGGAGAGGGGGAGAGAGAGAGAGAGAGAGAGAGAGAGAGAGAGAGAGAGAGCAAACAAACATACTAGAGTAGCATGAGTCTTTTGAAATCTCAAAGCCTGTCTCCAGTAACATACTTCCTCCAAGAAAGCCACACCTCCTAATCCTTCCCAAGCAGTTCTACCAACCAGAGACCAACTATTCAAACAAATGAGCCTATGGGAAGCATTCTCATTAAACCACCACACTATGTTTAAGTTAAATTATAAATTTAAGTTTTGGGTTTATAACCCTAAGAATTGGCTCATAGACAAAGCATAGACATTATTTTTGTTTATGTATCAAAAAGAAAACATTCATCAACCTTGAAAAAAAATTTGAGGAAGTTAGAATGTGGGAGAGAAGTAAGACAACTTCAGACAAGGTTCACATTCTTATTTTCCAAATAGAACAGTTAAACCTTTTTGGGCCTCAGCTCCTCTCCTGTGAAATGAGAAGCACGTTCTTACCACTGTGGTTGTTATAAGAATTAATGAGCACTGGCTGGTAAGGTGGCTCAGTGAGAAAAGGTTCTTGCTTCCAAACGTGAGAACCTGAGTTTGATCCACACTACTCGGGCGGTGGAAGGAGAGAACTGATGTTCTCTCTGTTGTGCTCTGACCTACACATATGTACCACATGCATGCCCACACATGTACATACACAAAATAAATAATACATGTAAAGGGGGATTAAAGAACCCGTATTTAGGAAATGCCTAAAATTAAGTAGACACCTGACTCACTGCAGCGGAATCAAAGGAGGCAAGCATGGAGGTCGAAGGAAGTCAACCTTCACTGATGTGGGGGTAGCCTTGGCTTTGAAGTTATTCTATAAACCCCCCTTCCATGCAGAAGCTGTCACTGCCCAGAAGGCAAGGTGAGTGTGATTAACAAAATACAGATGTTATGAACCCAGCAGGGGATATTTGCGTGATGAGATATCTTCGTGATATCATCACCTGTATCTTGTTAGTTGAAAGCATTGAAACTCTGAGATGCTTCTTGACTCACCTAATACCATCCAGAAGTGACTAAGCCAGAGTTGAAACCAGGAACATTGCCTGCACTGAGCTGGGTGGCACAATGGATTAGATACCCTGGCTGAGCTCCTGGTGTCTGCTCTATACACGTTTCTAATGAATAGGCCCCTAGGTTTAATTAAGGAGAAAGGAGATTAATTGTTTCTCCCAACAGCTGCAAATTATTTACATTGCATTTGTGTTGATGGCTAATGAAAGAGCAAAGGAGGATAGGGACAGCCCAGGATGACTGTAATTCTTACAGAGTCCATAATGAAGTGCAGGTTTGAGCGACAAAATGTAAGAATGGATGAGCCTGCTGCCCCATGCATACCTGAAGTGGGCAGAGCTGCTCTTTGCTCTGAGCAAGATCCAGTCAGCAAAAGTGGATCTCAGGGGCTTAGACTTGAGACTAGCTGGACATATATAAATCCCTGCTCCAGCAGACTGCCACTCAGTTGGTTTGTGACTGCTGGAGAATGGGTGAGAAAGAAGATGGCGGTGATTCAGGGTGTGGTTCTCCACCAATCCTGGGACAGCTCTTAAAAGAACTTTTGATGGATGATGGATTGGAAAAGGGAAGGGGCAACAGAATTAATCTCAAATCTCTAAGCCCTTGACTTTCCATGGCTACTGAAAACTTTGTATAATCCATTACAGTAATGTGGCATTCCCTGAACTTTCGCTGAAGAGCTGTGAACAAACACCTGCTCACCCTAGGTGGGGCACCAATGACAGGTCAAAGTAAAGATTCCATTCAAATCTAACCTGGTGAACTAATGGATTTATTGAGCTTACTTGCAGCAGCGTAACTGAGGGGGTATTTACAGTTGTGTGTGACCCCCAAACCATCGTGTCACCAAAAAGTCTCACCTCAGCACAGATGAAGACTTCTTCATGGTTGCATAGATGAAATATCCCCTTCATTTAGTCTTCCATTCTCTGCTGTAGCATCTTTGGAGATTACATGGAGCTAGGGCAGAATCACATGCCACTGAGAGGGGTTATATGAGGGAATAGGAATCTTTGGTGAGGGTCTAATGACATACCTCCTATTAGGCAACCTCAGTAGACCCAACATGAAGAACTCTGAGGGTACTTGCAGATGCTTTCATTTAGATGGCTATAGCTGTTATGCTATGAAGACAGTGTTCTGCAATACAAGTGTTATATGCATGAAATAATGTATGTTTTTGGTGTTTGTAAATATTTATGGTATATGGTGAGGTGCTAAAAGTTTTATTTTTCTTGCCCATTATGAAACATAAACATGTAGTCCTCTTGAGATGTCACTCTTTGTAGAAGCATTTTTCTTTACCATTTTTACAAGGATCCCCCCTATTTCATGGGTTGCTGTGAGGAACATATATGACCACAACTTTGACTCTTTGGAGTAGAGTGTGAGGGTTGGTCATATTAGTTTAATATGTTATTTTGCTTTTTAAAATATCTGCTTTGTCTTCTTAGTCCTGAAGATGTATGTTGGGGAATTAAAAGAAATCAAGAAGTTCACAATGCAAAGACTACTCTTGATGCTTATGTGGAGTGTTGATTGGAGAGGGTAGGGTCTTTTCTTGGGAGATGAGCTAAAATACCTGTGTAGATATCTAAATGGCATCATAAGGAGCCAGAACAAAAATTAAGCAACACTCACCAAAGAGATGAATGGCAGAAGTTGGATATTCACCAGAGATGTCTACATGTGAACATACAAAAACTTGTCACATCTTATCTCAAGCTTCTAGCCATTGTTGGTCCTTGTTAGTGTATTACAATTGCTTGGTAGTGTTCCTACACAGTGCCATAAACTAAATAATTTTAGAAAAATGGATATGTACTGTGTCACACTTTACATGTTTGACATCTAAAATAAAGATGTTGTAAGATTATGTTTCAACTGTACATCTGTACTCTGGGGAATGATCAGGTTGAAGTTCCCATCCTAGATAGTACCTAGTGGCTAGTAGAAGCACAAGTGTGTGTGTGTGTGTGTGTGTGTGTGTGTGTGTGTGTGTGTGTGTTTTCATGGTGCTTGTACATGTCTCCTATCAGAGGAAGTCAGTGGTCAAGGTTGAATGTCATCCCTCAGGAACTGCCCATCTTGTTATTTGATTTTATTTTTTACTTGCCAGGGTCTTTCATTAGGATCTGGTACTTGATTATAGGTTGAGTGTCCAGCAAGTCCCAGGAATTCACCTGTCTCTACCTCCCTAGCTCTGGGATTATAAGCATTGACCTCCATGCCTAGCATTTTGCTTAAGAGCTGGGCATCAAATAGGTCTTAATGCTTATTCAGTAAGCACTTTACCAAAGGAGTTATTTCCTCAGGGCAGCTCCAATCTTCCATGGTGTGTTTCTTGCATGATTGGCTGTCTCTGCATGAAAATGTCCCTTTTAATATGGACACCAGTCAATCATTGAAGATATACCCCAGTAGCCCCATTTTAAATAGATTACTGCTGTAAAGATTTCTTTCTAAATACAGACAAATATTGAGGTACTGGAGATCAGCACTGCAACCGACCTTTTAGGTGTACTGGCATTAAGTCATTGTCATTTTAGATATATGTTTAAGTATATCAGTTGTTCATTAGATGATGTATGATTTGAGCTGGTCAATTTATTGAAGAGCAATTTTAATTGATGTATAACTTACACCAGTTGACTAGTCTTTAAATGATCGGAAAACACTCAGTGTTTGTTGCATATTGACCTATATATTGGGACTTGTGCATTTATGTTTATCTGTGCATGTGTGTTAACCTACTAATGGCATCTGTGGATGGATCCAGTTAAGTTGAGGTCAGAATTCCCAGCACACACAGTATAATCTGCTGGTTTGTTGACTGATAACAGATTTTAATTCAGAATCACCTATTACTAGGTAACATTAGAAATTTTAACTTAATAATATTCATCTCTAGTGATGTTACCCCTTACCTTATGTGGGCCTGGGTGAATCATTAGGAGGTCAATGCACATCTCTGAAGCTTCTTTACATATCAAGTGGGCTAATGTGTTTTATGACCTAGGTAGCTGGATGTGATTCTATGATGGGGCAAATATGAAACATTGATAGAGAAATGATGATGATCTTTTTGTTTTACTTTCTAGTAAACAAACACAAGCCATGGATTGAGACATCCTACCATGGAGTCATAACTGAGAACAATGACACCGTCATTTTGGACCCTCCACTGGTAGCCCTGGATAAAGATGCCCCAGTGCCTTTTGCAGGTAAGATGATCGATTTTTTAGTGTGCTTGGGCTGGGCTTGCTCTGGAGGCCTCTGATGTGGAACCTCCACTATGCCCAGCTAGGATCTAAAAGCTACTGTTGCCACCCTGTGTGCAGAAGACCTGTGCTTTTCATGCTGTGTGTATCTTCTCATTGCTAATGTGGACTCTTTGTCTCTTTATGGTTATTCTCCTTCACATTTATTCCTGTGGAAGATACACGTTCCTTTTTTGTGTGTTTGTTTTTGTTGTTTTGGTGGTTTTGATTTGTTTCGTTTTTTGAGACAGGGTCTCTCTATGTAACTCTAACTATCCAGGAACTTGCTATGTAGACCAGCCTGGCCTTGAACTCACAGAGATTAGTCTACCTCTGTCTCTGCCCTCCAAATGCTAGTATTAAAGACACGTGCCATATGCCAATTTTCCTTCTTTTAAGAGGTGATAAATTGCTGAACTGACCTGTGGAGTTGGAGGAGATGGACTAGTGAAACTCCTTGGGGGAATTTTGCTCCTAAAGAGATGGTCCATAGACATCATAAAATGTGGCAACTACTGTCTCCACCACCTACATACCACACAGGGACTTGTATCTTGGTAGATTGGCAAGAAAGGGGGAAATAAAAAAAATATACAAAAATACTTACTAAAGGCCAGATGAGATCATGTCCTTGAGCTTTGTCATGAGTGTGGCTTTTACAGGAGGAATCTAAAGGCAGATGCCCTTTGTGTCTTTTGGCTAGAAAGCTTTATCACTGTCTTCAAGGCCATTAGTGCTCTCACCCTGACCTCCTGCAAAAGTCCTACCGCAGAAAGTGTGTGTAGGATACTACACTATCATCTGTTCCATGGATTTCAGTAAAGCCAAGGAATCGGGCAATGGCATGGGTAGGAGGCCTTAGACAAAGAACGTCTGAGGATGCCTGAATCTCGAGGAATATTGTTAACATTTTATAACTGTCAAGAGATAGACAGGAAATTTAATGAAGGTTTTCAAGACCTCTAGAAGATTGCTTTATGATCGATGGGTGCCAGGCAGGGGTTTTCACCATGCTGAAGTCTATTTCTTCTGACAGTTTGTCTGCTACATTATGAGCTACTTGGGCAGGGAAAAAAATGACTCTTTCTCACTTTAAAGAGAGATGCTCTGTGAAGGCCTTTTATTCATTACAGAAGATTATGATGGCAGGAGTGATGGGCTGGGTTAAACTCAGTGTGATGTGAAGGTAAGCCCATACGCTTTCTTACAGAGGAGGAAAGACTCTCACAAGACTTCATCTTTATTTTATATAGAATGATAACTACCAAGGGCACCTAACTGTGATTTCCAGGATGGTTAAGGTTGGGGAATCTTCAAACATCTTCCAAACGTCCTCCAAGCAAATGACACTTCGAAGAACAACTCTCAGGCCATTTTTTTTTTCTACAAAGGATGAAGTTATACCCCTACCCTTCTTTGGCAGCCTAGAAATAATCTGCCTCACACTCTTCTGGACATAAGTAATATGGCAGTGAAGTTAACCAACACCTTTAGCCATGCCTCGAAATAAGATTTTTGAAGCAAATACCAAGCAAAATACTATGTTTGGGTCATGGAAATGTTTGGTTTGGCTTTCAACATATGCTTTAAAAATAGATATGACATTTAGAAACTGGTAGATTGATCATAAAATGCAAGATTCTGATTAATCTCAATGAATCAGATCTCAGATAGAGAGAGAACTGAGTCCCTCCCTCCCTCCCTCCCTCCCTCCCTCCCTCTCTCCCTTCCTTCATTCTCTGGAAGCAAAGTCTATCTGGGCTGGCCTGAAATTCAGTATAGAGTTCAGGCTGTCCTCAAACCTGTGGTCTCTGGCCATAGCCATTTGAGTGCTAGGATCATAAGTTTGTATCCTAACACTCAGTTGACTGCCTCTTTCATCCGTGTGTGAACCCCAGCTTCCTCCCGGCCCTTCATCTCACAGTGTATGCTTAGTCTTTCCCCTCCCTGTCTGGTGGCTGACCTCTCTTTCAAGCATAACAGAGTGAACTGCTGGCCAATTCCCAGGAAGCAACAGAGTGCTCTTCAGTCATTGTGGTGCTGGGAGGCTGAGGAGTTCAAAGGAGAGCAATGTGTCCGACTATTTGTTATTCCTACCCCTAATGGAATCCTCTTTTTGTCTGGTTATGAGCAAAGAATTGAGGTCTTCATCAAAGTGCCCCACTCTCAAACAGAGAGGACACAATAAAGAGAAATTTAAATCCAAGCAAATCTGATATTTGAGAGTTTATATGCGCATCAGATTCCTTGGCTTCCTCATTTATTAGGGCTGACAGACAATTAAAAAATTCATCTGAGGATTCATCAGAAAATTTCTTAAGTTGAAGCCTCATCAAGTGCCTTAAACTTGAATTTGTATTTTATCAGATTTGCTCTCACAGTTGTTCAGGCATGTTTTGAAACTAAGATTTGCCTCTCAGCCAAGCCCTGAGTAGCTATTTCCAACCAGAGACAATTTCTACACTCCACCTGTTATTTTTGCAGCTGCCTTAAAAAAATCTGGCTTAATGCATCAAAAATATAATCTGCCAAGCTCTTAAGAGTAAAAAATAAAGGTGCTTTTTACTATGTTCAAAGCTATTTTTCTTAGTATTATTTATGGCCAGCTGTAAGACAGGACACAGACACTAGCCATCCATCCAGCTACGGGTATTTATTTTAAAACATTTATCTTAAAAAGAAAATACTGAAGATTTATTTCAGATCCCTATCATTCTCATAAAATTGAAAAATTTATATCTGCCAGCTTCATCACCCTCCATGTCAACTGGAGATTTGGTCCCCCTTATCAAGTACTCCTGAATTAAGGGTCACTTTTCCTGCCTTCTCCCTACACCTTTTCTTCCCTTTGAGTGGGTGAACTGAGCTATGCTCTGTGAAAGATCATTCCCTTTAAATCATTGTTTTTTACTTTATTTCTCTTATGTTCTCCTACCTTTTAGGATTTTTAGAAAAAAAAAGAATCTTCTATAAAAATTCTGTTAGAAAGTAACTTAGAATTATATGCTATTATAAGCAATGTTCATTTCAATAAAAAGAGAAGCGTTTACTATAGAAAACATGGGAAGCCTTGTGAAGTACACACAAAAAGCATAAAGGGTACGTCTTCCCACCACTAGAGACCATTAGCATTTCAGTCATATTTCTATTACTTGTTAAAATTATTATGCACCTTGCATCTATATTAGAATTGAAGGTTACTGTTATTTTTTAAATGACATTAACACTATAAATATCCTAATGAATGTGCTAGACTTTACTTTTTTCCTATTGACAATTATTGTACCTATTTCCATTTCTATTTTGTTATAACACATTTGCCTTTCTGTGTCTACTGGTGGATGTATTTTCAATAGTACAATTAATTGGTCAAGTATTTCCAAGCTCCTGAATCACATTTGATTGCTTTTAAAAAAAAAATGTAGGACTTTGTATTCCTATTCACACCATTTCAGTCCTTCTTTTCTGGCTCCCACATTGCTCACTCTAATGGTGATTTGGTGACAGTATGGCGGAGTAGCTGATTGTATCATCTTTAATAACATCATCTGTGAATGATGCAGGATTTCCAGGCTTTCTGTTAGGATGAAATTTAAAGAATGTCTATACCGCATGTTCCAAATGTGGTGGGTATTTAATAAATTGGAGTTTCCAAATCTGCAGCCTTTTATACATGCTCATTTCACAGAGGAAATGCCTGGTTGGCATTGAGGTGAAGCAACTTGCCCAGCATTCAAGGTGAACTTGAGGCAGAGACAGGAGCCTGTCTCCTGTAGGACACTGATTTGCCTATCCCTGTGATCTTGCTTTGAATGGAGCAGCAAAACTTCCATGAGGCCTTAGCCAGTTCTATGAAACTTGCTTGACTCACTTCTCAACTCAGAGTCTTAGCTCTGTAGACTTGACCTTCTTCAATAATCAGACATAGAAAAATCCTCAAGTAACAATGGAAATCCCATCCATTGCAAAAAAAAAAAAATGATAATGAAAGCAAGCTGGGTGCACCACGAACTTATTAATTTCTACGTGTGCCCCACTGAGGCCTGTTTGGAAACTGTGGAGACTTTTAAATTTGAAGGGAATTAGATTGCCTTTCAGAGATAATAGAACTACTACTCATTTGTCTACATTGGGCTAGTCTGGACTTGTCTCTTGTAAGAACAGGGCTGCAGAGGGTGATCAAGCATAATTGGCCAGCTTTGTGGGCTGGGTGAGTCTCAGAAGGCTGCCCAGAAAATTGTCTGGAATATGATTTGACCTGGTTTGATTAGCTGGTTCCAGTGCTGGCTGCGGCAAGGACTGTTCTTTCTTTCATGGTTAACTCCATTTCTCTTCCTATTCAGTTCATTGTCTGCCTGTCACCTGCCTTCCTATCTGTGGGCCTGTCCAGGGACCTGGCACCCACCTAGGGCTCAATAGGAGCCTAGTGGCAGACAACATCAAAGGTTCATTTGGCCATGGTATCTTATAGTAAGCAGGGAAAGCAGAGGTCATAGCATTTATTATTTCTGTTATTTTTAGATTGATGGACATCATTGTATGCTTTAAAATTTTAAGTTTAAAATCATATCAATATAGTGTAGAATATTTAAATTAAATAAGTGGCAAATATATTACCTCACGTAGTGTGATGATTAGTGTTGTCAAATTGACAAAACCTAGAATCACCTTGTAGATGGATCTTTGAACTTGCCTATGAGGGATTTTCTTAACTGAGATACCTGAAGTAGGAGGGTAGCACCATTTCTTGGGCTAAACCCTGAACTGAATAAAAAGGAGAGAGGGAGATGAAGAACACAAGTACACAGTTTGCTCTGTTTCCTGACTACGGATGTCACGTAGACCGCTGGATCAAGCTCCTGTCACTGTGATTTCAGTGCAAGATGGACTGTTAACCTGGAACTGTGGGTCTCTCTCCTTTAAATTGCTTTTGTCAAAGTATTTTATTGCAGGGACAGAAAAGA